ACACACACACACACACACACACACACACACACCCCTGGAGTATAATTTCAGGATCATTAGGGATCCCGAGTCTGTCTTAGAACTCTGCCTGATGTAAACCTGTTTCTCTAGGGGTCGAAGGCAGTAGTTTATAATTGCCCTTCTTTGGGGGATCCCAGAACCCTTTTGAGCCATTCAAGAATCTGATTAATGTTATGAGTCTGCTTCTCAGGGGAAAAAAAATGCTCAATCATACATGTTGACATGTAATTCTCAGGGGTTTACGGATCCTTTAAAGCTTAACCCAGGGTCCCCAGATTAAACCTCGCAGCAGACAGACTCGGCACTAAGGGCTCCCTCCATAAAGAGTTCGGTGGCCCTGCACCTGCTGCATCATGCCCCACCCTGCCTGAGGGCACCTGAGTCCTGTGATAATGGCCCTGGCACCTGAGAGACCATCTCCACACTTGCCTCTGCATCTTGGTCCCCACCACCCTCTTTGTGTGAAAATAAGTTGCAGGTTGTCATGTTCTGTCTGATCTATGAGCGTTCTGTACCCGGAAACTCCAACTCAGGGTGACAGCAAGTGACTGGTAATTAACCAGCTTCACTCAGTCCCAAGCATCCGAGCACACCTTTCCTGGTTTTTGTTCTCACCTCTCTTTCTGCGGGCGAAGCTGTGAGCAGCAGCCCCAGCTGTGGAGCCTCGCCTCACCTAAACCTGACGGATTTCGTAACCAGCACGGTAATGGTCGGTATTAGCCATCCAGATGTGAATAGGCCCTCTGCACAAAACAGCGTTGTAATGATCTCACGCTTGCCTGCAGCTAGCCAGGGAAGGGTGCAACAGGCCAGAGGTGCGGGGGAAGGACAGAGAAGTGCTGGGAATGACGGAGACATTCTCTCCTCGAAGTTCTCCAGGAAATGCAATCTGGTTTTTGCACTTGAAATTGTGAGGGTTAAGCCGGGCTATCCTGGTCCTATAATTTCTAATTTCTCTCATGTCCTCCACGCCCACGTGCTCAGCTCATGTCTGTCCACTCGAAGCTCCAGCCCTGCCCTGCCCATCTCATGGAAAAGGTCTTACCCTCACAATTGCACAGACACAGCCTGCTTGCTCAGGGCACATGAACACTCTATAGACTGAATTGTGTCTCCTTCCTCCAGACTTATATGTTGAAGCCTTAACTCCAATGTGACTGTATGTATGTATTTATTTATTTTTGCTGCCAAAAGCTTTATTGTTTCGTTTGGTCCAATGCATGGGAGAGGGTCGTTAAAAGAATGGCTAGCAGTTTGGGGAGAGGCTTAAGTAAAAGCCAGACACCAAGGGATGCAGAGGGGCCTCTCAGAGGCCTCTGGGCTCCAGGCTCCTAGCTGGAGGGTGAGCCTTCCCAAGGATACTCGCCCAGCCCAGCCTGGGTGCAGGGCAGCCTGCAGAGGTGAATCAGGTGTCGCCCATCTTCTTGATGAGTTTCACCTCCTCACCTGGAAGTGGTTCTCCAGGAAGTCACAGAGCTGAGGGTCTGTGGGAAGAACCCAGGGCCTGCAGCTCCCACAGGGCCTGGTCAGGTTCCTCTCCAAGGCCCTGGCGGCTTCCATGACGTCCTGAGTTTTGCCCACTCTTCGGGGGGAGGCTTCAGCACGTCCTGGAGAGAATGTGGCCACCACGCTGGTTTTGCAACTTTAAGAGCCGTTTAGCGCCCTAGCATTTCTTCTCCACCAACTTAGGCAAGAAGTGGCCCGCGCCCTCGAGAGTTACATCGTCGTGGTCGAAATAGAAGCCGAGAGAGAGGTAGGTGTAGGGGGCCCGCAGCCTCTACCTCGGTGGAATAATTCTGATGGATTTGGGAGCTCATGGTTGTTCGGCAATAAGGAGTTATGGTAGAAAACACAACAACAATAGTTTGTTGGCTGGTCCGGAGGTGGTTCTGAAGTTGGTGACTGGAGAAGATGCAGGAGAGTGTGTCTGTTCTGTCCAAACACGGTTGAAGCAAGAGGCAGACCGGGACTGCGGAGGGCACTGTCCCAATGTGACTGTGTTTAGAGAGAGAGCCTTTACGGAGTCAATGAAGTTTAAATGAGGTCAAGAGGGTAGGACCCTAATCCTCAGGATTAGTAGCCTCATAAGAAAAGAAAGAAACACTAGGAATCTCCCTCTGTCTGTGCACACAACAAGAAAAGGCATGTGAGGACACAGAGAGGTGGTGTTTTGTTATGGCAGCCCCAGCGGGAAGATACGCATTTCCAACACACTCCTTACCCAGCCAGCGTGTTCAGTCTCCTCCCGATACGTTGACTCCAGCCTTTTTCACTCCTGTGAAGTCAGACCTTATTGATTCTGGCACACTCTCCTAAAATGTGTTTTTCATCTTTTGATACCAAAACTAAGTCTCCCCTCTCACGCCACTTTCCAGAACTGCTCTAGCCAGAAAGCTTCGCCTCCTCAGCTCTCCGGCAGGTGTGCCACATCCCAGCATATTATGGATATTATTCTGTTTTCTCCCTAATTGTGTCTTACACATAAAACTTGGCCATCCTGTCAGAATGAAAGCCCCTTTAAGTCCAGAGTTTGCAGCTTATACAGTGGCAACCTTATAGAACCCAGCATGAAACAGGGGGAACACACAGTTAAACAAATGTACTCCTCAAAAAAAAAAATTCTAAAAAGGTTATGTAGCCACTTCATGTTCTAAAAGCTCAAGTCATTCTGTGTGTGCCATTCCAGGCATCCCAAAAGCCCGTTGGAGAGGGGGCCCTCAGGAACTAGTTCTCCTATAATCCAGGCCAGAGGGGCGTCACAAATTGCTGAGTCACACAAAGTCTCCAAATCAGAAGCCACGCTACCCTTGGTTCCCGCTTGGCTATCTTCTCTCTCCAGGTGGAGAGGGAAGGGTGGGGAAGCTCGGATCTTTGAGATACTTCTGTTCCAACAGATCAGTTGCAAAAGAAAAGTTGGTACAGTCCCTCCAGGCTTGAAGCCAGAGGTGTTTTAGAATTTGGAAGGTGCCATATATTCTGAAACATCCCCTGCAAGGTTTTGGGCAGTATCTCATAATCAGCCACGTTAATATTTCCGCAGTAAAATATATGCATGTTCACACTGCGTGGCTCGAGTACCTTCACATCAGTTTAGGTCTGGCGTTTGTCACCAGGTGAGTTTGGGCACTACACTTGTAAAAAAAAAAACACAAAACGAACCAACAAAAAAGCCTTACAATCCACCTTCTGGTTTTCAGAGATTTGGGAATTTGAGAATTACGGAGAAGGGACTGGGGAATGGCATTTTAGGCTTGGTTGTCCCTAAAGAAATGGCTGTTTTGTGAGGGTGTGGAAAAGCAGCAGTAGTAACAAATGAGAAGTCATAAACTGTGAACGAAGTAGGGAGTTTAAGGGGGTACGAGCCAAGTTGCAGTGGGTTGTAGTCGTTTTTTTTTCTAAGGAGTACATGTGTGTCACATGGCTGTGAGTTTCAGGTGCCCTTGTGTTAACAGTGGCTTAGAAGTGGCAGACATAAGGAACGGACTTCTGAGGGAGCAGGTGGGGGTGAAGACGACAGAAGCTCCTGCAGGGAAGCCACAAGCCATGGTGGACTTCCATGTAGTGAGAAGGAGTTCAGAAAAGCTTGAATGCAGAGCACTTGCTACAGGCGAACTTCTCCGGGCAGAGTGAGGGCCGGCCTGAGAAAGGAGGCTAAGCAAGGAGGACGTGATGGAATCTGAGAAAAGTCTGGTTGGAAAAGTCGGCACTTCTTGGGGCTGGGAGTCTGGGGCGGCCATGCAAGTGGATGTCTTCTCATTGTGTTCATCTGTGTCTAGAGGGCTTGGGTGCTTTGAGGTTCTCCCACACTGGATGGGGTGGCTTTGATAGGAAGGAGGAGGACAGTGAAAGGAAAGCCACAGTGAACCCCTAACTACTTGGCTCTCTCTGCCTGCTTACGGTGCTCAGTCAGCAAGACCCTCCACGGTCAGGGGGCTCCCTGGGGTCCAAGGTCAACAGCAGGGAAGCTTCACTTGAATCTGAAGGCTCGCCCTGTTGCTGGCTTCGGTCCTGCTTTGCTTTGTTCCAAAGTCCTCGTACATGCTCTTACCTTCCTCTTCTGACAGAGTTCTCTGTCTGGTACCCCCAGTTCCAATGACTGGGTGTCTGTATCATTTTCCCATCCTGCTACCCTCTAGGATCCAGGCGCTTGGGGACTAAGAGTCTGGGGTCCAGATATTCTACTTTCCTCCGTGTGGCTGAGTCTTCTACCACCTGCTGCCTCACATTCCTGATATCAACTGTCTTCTTGAGCCTCTGCCAACTGCCTCATGCCAGCTTCCTTTGACATGCCCCCAGCCTGGCCTCCCTTCCTACCACTTGCAGCTGCCAGGACCTCCCCAGATCTTGGCCCTGCTTGGTGGATAGGTCTTGATCCAGGTTCCAGCCCCTCGTGGTCTGGCATATCCAGCTACCAGCCCAGCCAGGTTTCTGACAGACGTGGGCTCACAGTCATGGCTTAAAGAAGAAGAAGGGAAAAACCCTGTAGCGGAGGCAGGTGGGGAGTGGTAGCCGGCATGAGGCAGAAGCTGGCATAAGGCAGTTGCAGCAAATGCCAGGGAGCTCCTGGTCTAGGGGTGCCTTGGCCAGTTTCAACCTAAGGGGAGAGAGGGGGAAAGGGTGAAAAGTGAACAGGAGAGGAAGTGAACAGGAAGAAGTAAATAAAGAGAGGGAAAGAATCAGGAGGAGAGAAAGGGAAGGGAGGATGTTAGGGAAAGAAGCAAAGGGGGTGGAGAGAATGTTTCTAGTCTGAATTGAATATCTGAGCTGAGCATGAAGATTCTTCTCATCAACAAAGAGTCAAGCATTGACATAAAAGAAGATGGAAAGGATAATTGAGCCAGGGTGTGTGTGTGTGTGTGTGTGTGTGTGTGTGTGTGTGTGTGT